CTCCCTGTTTTGTGTAATGATGCCTTCTACAGAATGTGAGTTTTTGGAGGCAGAGTTTGGGCTTAAATATACACTCGGAAAACATGCAGGATATCACATTTAACATCAGAACTTTTGAAAACCTTGAATATTATTGATAAGAATGGATTTCCTGACCCACCAACTACTTGCTTTTTCCTGCTGTAAAGTATTGAATGTTTTAGCTAATTCGGAATAACATGGCAACTTCAGTTCTCTTTTCACTGTGCATCTGCATGTAAATTCGTGATCCTAAGGAAAAAGGAAAGGGAAAAAGGCTGCACTGTAGTTAGCAGAGTCCTTTACTGCATGAGATGCATAACAAATTATTGGAGAATCCATCAGAACTCTATTTGTACCCTGCGTAGTGAGAGTTTTCATTCCTGACCTGGAACATCACACCTTCCAACTTCTTTACTCCAGACCAAGGAATTTTGAATTCTGTGGTCTTACACAGGAATTTCAGATTTTTTTCTCCACTAGAATGTCTTTCATATAGCAATGTCATTGATAGGTTTTCAGAACTTTGTAATATTAAAGGTCTGGGTTTGATCTCATGCAGGGGGTATTATTTCATCTAGGTGGAGTGAGTTTATAGGATATAGTTAGTGACTTCCAGAATGTTATTTCTAATTGAATTAGTCCACAGCTTGGCTTCAAAACTTCCCTTTTTGAAGCTGAAAGATCATCTAAGCCATCCTAGTGAATCCTATCCTAGGTCTCCAGTTGTTGTCATCTACATCACAGAGGACTGACTCTATTGTGTAGATAGCTAAGCTTGGTCTTGTACACAGAGAGAGAATGATAAAAGAAAGCACACCACTGCATATTTCGTTAGATAGCAATATGTGTAGTCCAGGACTCGTTGTGGTAGTTTAGATTGTAGATTTTAGATTTTTAGTTTAGACTGCAGATTTTAATTTTAGCCAGACTGACTTGTTGAGAAGTGTTCATAGTTCTAGCATATGCTTTATATTTGTGGTTATCATAAAAGATGATAAAACATGCTGCTGTGATAGTTTATTGTGCAGAAATAATACAGGCTGTATAAGTAATGCGGCCTTGTAGAATTCTCAGCACATTGTGAAGAAATAACTTCATCTTTTAAAAGATCATCTTGTCTGTTTAAAGGCAGTGTGAATTAATCTCTGGGTTTCTTATATACCATGTACAGGATCATTGAAGGACATAAATCTCTGTCTGTTTATAAGCAGGTCAAAGCTTGAAAAAGCTCTGAATGTCAGTATTGTTGTTTGCCTCCCAGAATATTTTTCTGGGGAGTTCTTTTATGCTCTGATGCAAAGTTATACTCTCATTATCACAGATTTATAGTAAGTATAGTCTAGGACTTCATTGACTTTAATGTGGTGTCCAAAGTCAGTAAAACTCTTCCTTAGGTTGCTGCAGTTGTAAGACAAACAACAGCATAAAATAAATGCTTGGTTTTCATATTTTAATTGCCTCTTATTTGAATTTCTAGTTTTAATAATGAAATGTGATGTACTCTAAGAATGACATAGACTATTGCTAGTGATGTTTGATTTTTTTTTTACAGTCTCTATAAGACATGGTTATGGATGTAAAGGGGTTGCTTTTCTTGGTATCTGAGGGAAAAGAACAATGTGAGTGAGGCAGGGTCACTGTTTGTTTCATATTCTTAAATGAGAAACATGGAGAGTTGTACATGGTATAACATACAGAATAAAGATAAATATTGAATAAAGATAATAGTAAAGAGGAAATAAAGTGATGCAAAGACAATCACTCACAACCTAGCACAGACTGATGCCCTCTCTGTCTTCAAGCAGTGGCCACACTGAAAGACAATCCTTGTTCTGTCCAGCCCTCTGTGCCTCTAACCCCCTTTCTTTGTCTACTATCACTTTTTGTTGCTGAGCATAATGTTACAGGTATGGAATCTGCCTTTGGCCACTTGGGGTCATTTGGCTTAGCCGTGTTCCCTCTCGACTCCTTGGCCATCCCCACTCTACTTACTGGGGGCAGAGAGGGAGGAAAAAGGAGGAAGGCTTGACACTGTGGGAGCACTGTTCAGCAATAGCCAAAGCAGTGGTGTGTTTTGAGCAGTTTTAGCCAAAACTCCACACTATCATAACAGCTGCTATGACCAAAGGGAACCTCCCTCCCAGACAGTCCCAGTACCTGAACTTGACTCTTATTTTAAGTACTGGCATAGTTCATTCAAGTCTATTTTTGCACTTGAATAAAATAAAATCACACTAAAAGGATAATCTGAGGGGTTTTTTTTGCCTGGAAAGCATAAGCTTTATGGAGTTTATTTGTGAAATGAGCAGAAGGACTTTCCTCTAATTAATCTTTTTAATACTAATAACTTTTTAACCAAGTTGTGTTAGTTCTGAAAACCCTTAAATTTTTCTCTGTAGCAGCATAGTTATAACTCAATTAAACAAGAAACTCTTCTTATTCCTTGTTTAAACTTGATGGAGAATTATTGATGAAAGAAACATACTTGGAAGTAACTTTTTGAATGGGGTCATCTTCATTAAGCATGTCATAGTAGTACATGTCTGACTATTTTCTGTATTTTACTATTTAGCCTTATTTCATGTCAGTCATTACCCACTTGAGGAAATTATTGTCTTGAAGATTATTGTGTTTATCAAGGAACTGGGGTTTCAGCCACCCTATTCCAGTTTAGTAACACCTTTTGCGATTTAGGCTCCAGAATTTAATGTCTGTCTTTTTGTGTTGAATCATGTAATTTTACTTAAGCTAGGGTACTTCTTTCTGTACAAAGTCTGTCTGCATTCAGTCTGTTGGATTTTACTAAAAGGATATCTCTCTGCTGAAGGACTAAAGAATGAGTACTTAGGTCACTCAGAAAAGTGAAAGCCCTTATGGAAACAGTAGGCTCTATCATTACTTTATTTCTGAGACTCTGATAGTTTAATCTTGCCATGCAAATTAACTTCCCACTGCTGAAAATAAACAGAGAAAATATGTTAAGTATCAAAAACTAGTGAACAAACTGATTTTCTGCTTTAGGTTTCTGTCAGTAACATGAGAACAGTACCACCATAAAAAGTTACTGAAAGTATTTTGAAAATTAATTAATAGTTGTGAGGAACTATATAATTTCATAAATAAACACTTATGAGAATAGAAGTCTAGAAGAAAACTGACAGTGCTGTCTTGAAAACACAGTTTTAACAGAGTACAGTAAATGAGGAGCAAAGAGAATAATGATGTGAAAGCAAAATAGCTGCTGACTGAGGTTTGTGTGTGCCAACCTTGTGTGGAATAAGCTGAGAATCAGGAGGGTAAATATCACATAGGAATATAGAATTTTATCCTACACATACTTGCAAGATAAAGCAGATGGAAGCTTCTTAGGCAAATTGAATTTCAGCATTTCTAGTTCTCTGAAAGCTTGACTTTGCATTTTTGTACATTTTGTGTTTATTTTTCATATATTCTCCTTTTCCCTCCTTGCCTATTTTTATTGTAAATATACTTTATGTGTGTCAGTTACAAACATTCCACAGAATATTGAATTTACCTTTCCATGGATATCCATTTGGATATAAACATGTTAGAAAACATTTTTATATCTAAATCAATAAACAAATAAAATACCTAATTCTTGTTGAGTATTTATTCACTGGCAAAAACTACAGCATTCTTGTTGTATTTTCTCAGGTTATCCTTTACTATAAAAATTTTATATTCTATTACTATAGGATTTATCAAATTGACACTTAATTTTTGTTAATGCAGATTGCACATTCCATAACAAGCTCTAATTTCTTTATCTTATTTCCTTTTCAAAAACAGGCATCACTGTTTCATTTTTAACTTTTTTTTTTAGAAAGCCTACAAGTACCTGAAGTTTTCTAAGCGAAAATATGTGTATAAACATTACTTGACTTCAGATAAATACTTTAAATATATCATCACTTTCTTAAGAAGCATTATTTGACAATTCAGCTATTGCAGTTGAGGACTGTGACCCAGCTGTTTACCCAGCAGGCAGAGGTTATTTGCTTCACAGTTCAGCCAGCAGAACAAAAGTGCAAGTTCTCATTGTTCCAGTACACTAGAGTCAACAATGGCATCGAATTACGTCATTAGCAATCAGATTAAATGTGCTTATTTTGCACTTAAGTGGATCAAGTTGAATTCCACTGGATGTACAATGAAGAATTACTTTCCTGGCAGGAATACAGTAACAAGATTCTCGGGATAAAAAATCTTGAATTTCTATTGCTGTGCAAAATAATTTTGTCTCTTGAGTATCAAGCATGTTTCATTGTTTTTTTTCTCTGTAAGAGTGCAGCTGAAGCCTTATTGTGCCACTTTTCTATGCTTATATTTTATTGAACATTGAATTATGTGGTTTACTTGTTTCATCCAGACATTTACAATGGCGCCTTTCCTATTTCTATTCTGATAAATAAACAGAAACAATCAAAATTAGCATTTTGGAAGTTGTTCATCAGCAACATGCTCTTAGTGGTGATGAGCAACCACTAAGAACAATTTTCTTTCTTTCTAAATGATATTTTCCTATCTATTTTAATAACTGGGGAAAAAAAATCCGCTGGATTCAAGACATAACAATTAATGAATTGCTTCACCAAATGTTACATATATAGAGAAAAAATTAACTAGTTTTTTTATTGAGCAGCTGTAAAAATCAGGATCTTTTTTCACCCTACACGGGGAATAATGGTAATCCACAGGTGTTCCCTGGCATTAGGTGCAGCCAAGAAATAAAGTGTGCAGGTCACCATCAGGTTTCACAGTTAAATACCTCAGCACTAGGTGAGGCTCTGGCTATAAATGTGCCCATCTACCTCCTGCTCAAGATCATGAGGAGAGCTGGGGACACTGGGATAGCACTCATTATTTTTAGGGGTTAAGCCAACTACTGTCTTCTTTTTAGGTTGTTCTGGATAAGGTTATTTCCTAAAGTGAATATGTATATATATTATTGATTGTAGGATGGAATGGGAAATTTGAGAGTCACTAAAAAAGGAATACGACTTGAAGGAATATCTGAATTTCTACTTCCACTATATGTGAAAGAAATCCATTCCCGAAAGGTAGGTATTTTTCATCTTTATTTCTTAATTTGCAGCTAATATAAATTGAACTCTTCAGTCTCAAACTACAAAGTTGAATTCTTACACCTTCTAGATTAGCAATCAGTAGAGGTTTGCTTTGAGAATATCTTAGCAGTGAAAGCTTCCTTCATGTCAATTATTTTTTTTCTGAAATCTTGCTTGCTTCTTAAAAGAAATGTTTTATCCTAATTCATTACTTTTTTAATTTTAAGTTTTTTTGGGGGTTATTTTGCTTATTAGGTAGAGGAAATCCTGCTATACAGTGTAATGTCTCTAGGATTTAATTTTTCAAAGCAAACCCTTTTAAATGTTGTTTAAATGTAATTATCATATAGCATCACGTTATTACAGAGGAAAAAAGAAAAGAAACTTCGTAACATGAAATTCAGTGTAGGTCATTTTAACTCTGTTTTGATTTAGTTATGCTGTTTATATTAACATTGTCAATGAATTAAAAAAAAAATTGAAATGCTGGAAAAATCATCTTTTTACTGTGAGAGTTATTACCTATGATGAGAGTAGAATGGTATGTTGGTTTTCAGTCAATCATCTGAAAAGAATTTTAATGTGCATACTGCTACATTTGACAGGAATCACAAGTATGTTGACCCTAAATTCCTTTGTGAAAAATTTTGTCTTTTGAAATCTGTCTTCTATGTATATAAAGTCTTGAGTACATTCGTAATTGAGATGACAGTTTCCCATTTCTCTTGATTAGTTCACTCTTGTGTTAATAAATCCTTGAGGTAGTCTCTTAATCTTGTTTTTCTGTAAAGCTAAGATCTTTCAATGTGTAATACAGTACCAGTACTGTCCTAGGTAATGAAAACTTTTATAATTAAGCAACCTTGAAGGGAGCATACTTTTCATTCAAGGCCGCAGAACGTTCTTCATGATGCCTGCATTTCCCCCATTTCTTTTTTTGAGTGGACAGTGTGTGTTACTGTTCCATGTCCTGTTGTTACTGTACATGAGAGTAATGATTTAGAATATTTTCTTGCCCAGTGCTTCTTATTGCAGAACATTGGTTCTTTTCAAGAGAGGATGGAAATTTTTGTTTCAAGTGACAGTAATGAGACTTGAGTAGGGTCCTAATTTCATTTAGCTACTAACAAAGTTCAGAAAAAAATGCACACAAATGCATTTTAGGCATATTTAATGCATAGTTATTTTAAAGGAAAGGGATGCAGAATCTACCAGATGCCTAACATAAAGTCCCACTAGTCCTGTGAGACTCATGAATAAATGACACTTACCAGTAAATATTCTCAAGCCAGCAGAAAATAGAGTTGATCATTAACTGGCCAAAATAATTCAAGTAAAATATTTTTGGAGTTGCAGGCTACTTTATATGTATTAACTTTATGACACTTGTCACCTAGATTAAAAGTAGTATTTCCACAGGCTTTATTCTCATGTTGCAGCACTTTTGAACTAGGTCTGCTTTCCAGTCTTATGCCAACTTGATCAGTAGGTGTGCTAGAGTTCAGTAACTTCTGTATGCAAATGGAATGCCAGGAGGGAATGATGAAGGAAACCTCCGGAGCTGTATCCAGCTTAGCAGTAGGGTTTTGTGATGTCTCTGCAGGGTATTTTTACAGCTGTATGGCATCATGAGCCTTTTTGGCACTTACAAAAATGTCCACAGTGCTGTTGAAATCTAAAAGTAAGCTAGGTTTTCTGAGCTCTCATCACAGTCAGTAGTGACCTAGTCAACACCTACAGCAGATTCTGCTCACCAGCTATTAGCGTTTACTTTGGGTAGTACAGACATGAATGCTTTTGTCTGCCTTTTCCATGGAAGTAATAATGATTTGAGTTTGCTGTCTACTGGAGTTAAAATATTCTGTGAAATCAACAACTCATTGCTTATTTTCTAGAAGGAGAGTTAGTTCTTTAAGCCTATCCTCATTTCCCTATGAAAGAACACATCCATTAAAGTAACAGTGTCTGATTAACTTCTGGGATGACTTGTAACATTCAGTAGTAACTTTGCAGGAGCGGTATATTTTCTTTGCACTGCAGAAGGTGGTTTGTGGAATGGCCTCAGGGGGACCTCCAAGGAGGCTCTCAGATCAGGAGGTCAGGCCTTCACTCTCTCCCACCGCAGCACAGAGCAGAGTGAGGTGGGAAGGCCAGTGTCATCAGCAGCGAGGTACAGCAGTGGGTGTGCTGTGCTATGGTAAGAGGCGTGACTGGAATTCTTGCACATTTTGCTAGTGCTGTCTTGTAGTAAACTGAAGCTGAAAGTGATAAAAATGTTCATTGAGAGGGCAGCATTCACCTCTGATTCTGATAGTGAATTACTGCTGATAAGAGTCTTGAGTAGGTAGGAGAAGCTGAGCTCTCTGCTGCTGCAATTTAAGTGTGAGATTGGCCAGATTTGCTAGTGTAAAGCTCACATATGCTTACTGAAGACCACTTGTCTGCTGCATACGTGGATGCCCAAATAAGATCATTTATGCAGTGCTAAATGCAGACCTTAAACTGCCTTTATCAAGAGAATGGTATTGAATTTTGTATGTAGGTTGAAACACTGACTAATCTTGTGATTGCTTCATTGAAACCCTGAATATTCAAAGTAAATGCTTAAATACTTAAATTTAAGTCAGTTGGAAAACAAACGTGTGTGAATTCTTAAAAACAAAAGAAAACTTCTAGTGATATTTACTGCTAATAGTACAAAATTTTCTTTCCAAAGGTAGCTGTGAAAAAGCCGGGTCTTGGCTAAAATGAGTATTTTCTTTTGTGTAGAAGTTGTTTACATGAGAAGGCTACTCAAAATGTGCTGTTTCCCTTGACCTGCTCCTCTTGCTTTGCCCTTTTTACCGTACCTAGTTTGTAGTGTCCTATGGATTCCTACCCACAATTCTACGTTTATCCAGAGAAGAGACTTTTGTATTTTCACTAAATGTCTTTGCTGTGTGTCAGAATTTAAAATGATGCATCAGACCCTGAGCAGATAAGGGCTTGTTTGCGTCTGAATTGACATATTTATATCCCCAAACCCACAGAATGTGTACTCCATGAAATGAATCTTAGAGAATTACATTTTGGTTATGAATGGTCTAGCTGTACAATTTTGATCAAATTGCTAGCCTGAAACCAGTGAGTTTCACCCAGACCATGTTATATTTCCCTTACATAAATGTTTATATCATTTGCATTGATATGATGCAAATTTCATTCTTTATAATGCATCATTAATGAGATGTATGAAATCAAATAACACATAATGCAACATCCTGAATTATTTTGATATTTCAGTTCTTCTGAATTAAATGCTTTTATTATCATGCTACTTCATCCATACTGCTGCACTTTTGAATGGAAATAATCGAGGTACAGTCTTATTAGCTTGTCATATAACAGTAAAAGTGGTTCGTGGTGGTTTCTCGAGAATGTATTCCTGGGTTTATTAATCTTTTCCATTTGCACATACAATTCTTAAGGGCTGAAAAAAATCCAGTTTTCTCTTTGTTAAATTGTTTCCATTACATAAAAGAAGTATCCTATTGTCCCTTAAAGTAGAGGGGATTGCTTTGGGGTTTTTTTCACAATTAATAAGGTTAAAAATGTATTCTCTGAAATTAGTGTGCATTTTCCAGAGATATCCTTAGAGAACACAGAATTTAATAATTGAGTTAAAATTCTATGGGAAAATGTCAAGAAAACAAGAAATAGTGAATATATGAACTTCTTACTGAACAGGGGAAACTGAAAACTTTTTTGCATATTTTGTATTTTAAAATATGTAATTCTATATGAATTAAGAAACTGTAGGTGGGGTTTTTATTTATTTGTTAGGTATTTTTTCCTCCAGATTTTTACTTGATAGATTGAATATCCTTATAAATATTTAGAGAGCTTTAATTTACATTGTTTTGTTTTTATCTGAGTGTATGTAATCATCAAAATAGAATTAACCTTCGCTAATTTCAGCTTAATCATTGTGTCTATTTAGGTTTATGTTTGGGCCTTAGGTGCCTCTGTGACAACCTCAAATTATTTTTCTGAGATAATATCTTCACTGAGCTTTTCTTTCCGAGTTATAAGGATGTAACATAGGAGATCACATCAAAAGTCTTTATGAAGTTGAGGAAGAGCATACACTCCTCTTGTACATTGAGACAGGCTTCTCTTTTTGCAAGACCACAAGTTGGTGCTCCTTGCCTTTACTAACCCCATGTTCATTTTATCCCAACTGCCTGCTTTTCATGTCTACATTGTAATAATTTTCAGAGGCCTGTCCCACATAATCTTGCTAGGAACAGATGTGAGACTGACTGGCTGTAGTTCCCAAAGTCTTCCTCCTTGCAAGATATCCATCCTCTCCTGTAAGGGCTTGCCAGAATGGATGCTTAGTTGATTTTGGGGTTGGATAGGAGGAGCATACTCCCCTGCATTGCACTCAGACATGTTCTCCCAAAATTTCAAGGCCAGATTTGCTCTATCTACTCTCTTTTCTACTCTGTGAGATACCCAGCTGCCATGCAGTCAAAACTAGTTCAAGGCTCATGCTGTTCTACCACCACTGGGTATATAGGTATCAGAGAAACTCCATTTAGGAGATGTCATTGCACACTTTTTTTGTAATATCAAAAAAATCACAAATGTACCCAAAGAGTCTGCCACTGTTATTTCACTGGATGATATGCAATACTTGTTTCTGTAGTTACATGTCACAATCAGATAAAACTTTAAATGCTTTCTGGTTCATTTTTCTGATACCTGCTCTTCAAGCCTTGTCCTTTGGGATCACTCACCTGCCACTAAGGATAAAGCCACTATTATGGTATTGTCCTGGTTTCCAGAACTAGGACAGTCATCAAGGACTCCTTAAGTCATTTTGGCTCTCAACACGGTGTCATTCCAATAGTGTCACATTTATTGGTATGAACAAGATATAAGGTTTTCTTAAAAACAAGCTTTGCCAAAGGACAAGTCACTCCTATATTTGTTGGTGGTCTCTGGAGGGA